AAAAAAAAAAAAAAACCTTTTTTTTTCAGATCACTTTCTTACTCAGGAAAGTGCTAGCCTCTAATTGTTATCACCTTGAAGACAGGCTCAGGCGGCATCAGAGAGGGAGTAAGGAGGGGTTGGAATAAGGTTATTCAACAGGGTGATACATTTTTTGAGCAGAGTCCTTGAAGTTTGACATTTAAGTTGTCTTACCTACTCTGTGGCAGACAGGAACTAAACACAAAGACACATCAAGGACAGGAGAGCACAGGCAGGAGTCACGGCTCTAGTTTCTGTCCTTCCTTCTGTTCTGTGCAGAAGACCTACCATCTGCCCACTGAGTGGCCATCCTTAAAAAAAAAAAAAAAAAAACTTTCCCTTGAGCATGTTTTTCTAATCAGCTACTCAAGATCTACCCTTCCCATAGTCCCTTTGGCTTTTCTAGTATCTGTTCTAAGTCATATGCTCTACTTCCTTAGAATTCTGACTCTGTTTCCTGGTAAACTTAAAACCTAGTGCTTGGTCATTCTCAGGTTTCTCCCTCCAAAATCGTGAACTCTGGCATGGAGAGTTAGGCCCCCATGCTCTCATATCTCCCACAGCAGATGTGTGTAGATGAGAAAAGTAGGATGAAATAAGACGCTAAGTCCTAGGTTCTGTTACCAGCTGAGTTATTAATGGAACACAGGACCAGGAATGGAGGAGAGGACATCAGCTGTGATTTCTGGGTCTTCTGAATTTGGAATTCTGTGATTCTGATTGCAAGTAATTGACTAACAGAATATGATGTGGGAGAGTGAGAAGAACTTGTAAGTTAATTCTGGGGTTGTGAGTCTCCAGAGCCAAGAAGCCATTGCCAGAAAAGTAGGAGGGTTGCCAGCTTGGTCACAGAGTTATGTTAGTGCTTGTCAGTAGTGAATGCTTGCTGCCACTGGGTCTCTAATGACTGTCCTGTAGGCAGTAATAAGCAGCCATCTTCTGGAAGACAGCTGAGGAATGGAAAAGAGATCCAGTTGTCATGGTACAAGTGTAGCAGGCCTGCAGGGTGGGGCTGATCTAGAATGAGGAAATGGCAGGTTCTAGCTTTTGAAATAAGGGCTGGTATCTCTTAGCACAAGAAGAGGGAATATGCAGTGGAGAAGTCAGCAGTTTGAAAGTAGTTTGCATTTAAATGGCACAGAGCAGTTGATGAACTTGATGGAGAATTTCAGCTGCAGCAAGTGAGTCAGGAGTGCAAGCTGACCCTGATCCGCCTCCAAGGGAATGTTGAGTGCTGTAATTAGGGGAGTCCAGAAGGCAGGAGTGAAGGAAATGCTGAGGACTCCCAAAATACTATGGAGGGCCACCCTAATTCCACACAGAGGGGCTCCACAGGCTCTGTGCTCATGGTTTATTTACTTCAGGAAGTGTAAGTTTAGCCATGGAAGAGAGTTTGGGGTGAGATTATCCCATGAAAGAAAAGTAGTCCATACTTTTCTGTTTTCATGAGAGCCTATGAATTAGAATGAGTCATCATTGACTTTTTTTCTTCCAAATCAACAATTATCTTTTAATCTTTCTTTTTTTTTAAAGAATCTTACTTTTCCTATACCAAGAAGTAAATTTGTCACCTGAAAGCTTTATGATTCTTTCCCTAAGTCTGAAATTTTATCACCTTATGGGGTAGAACTGAAATACCATTCTAGTGTAATATTTCCCTAGGACATTATCCATTTTTATAAATAATAACACCACTTTATTTTATATTCTGATATTCCCATCGTTACAGAAAACCCATTCTTTCTACCCTCTTTACTTTGTTAAAAGTCTGCAAAGGCTTTGGGAATAACAGAAGGGGTGTGTGCTGTACTGAGTGGGACCCAGGGGTGGGAGGGTGGAGTGGGGGGCACGTAGATGCTTCTCTGTTTATTTCAGGCAGAAATGAGACAGACAGCACTTTTTATTTTTGTTCATTGGGTTTAAATGTCAGGGAATGAAAGGTACTTAACAAGCTGATGTGTTTCTATTAATAATATTCAAGTCTATAATTTCCCTGTGACTCTCTTAATAATTCGGAAAGCCTTCCCTTAAAACATAGACTGGGGATGCCTGGAAATGGTGGCAAATATTTGCCAATACAGCTATTCCTCCAAATGTACAGCTCTGTGATAAAATGTTAGTTACCAAAATAAATAAAAAAATTTTTTTAAATCGCCAAAGCAGTTCTCAAGAAATTATACTCTCCTAGTGAGGATTCTGTGAGCGAATTGGCAGCCTTTTTGACTCTTAAGTAAAAACTAGTCTCTGACAAAATGGAGAGAGGGATGGAGAACTACAGTTGATTCCTGGATATTTAAAATTTTACATTTATGTTGTTATGTTGTGTGTGTTATGACGTTCTGTTGTGTTCTTTTCAAAGTTCCTCCATTTATCCTTTCCCTTTTCCCTCTCCTATCAAAAATGGGAAACTAAGAATTTTTTTTATGAAAGATTGAATTAGTATTTTTTTTCTTGCAAATCATGTCAATCAGCTTGCAATCATGATTGCTATACTGCCAAAATGTACTTTTTGGTTGTATTAACTATAGAAATGTAAGCAGCTCATCAATACTTCTTAATGTAATTACTGTCAGCATGTAATAAAAAGAATTTCTTTCATATTGTGAGATGAAGAAAACACATAGATTTGAGGTTTAATTATTTAGTTCTGTGTCATAGTAACTAAAGTTTACTTTCTTTTTTTATAGAATTTAATTCCTTTTCGACCTTCAATTCAGTTCCAGGGACTCCAAGGGGTGAGTACTGTCAATTTAGGAAAAACAATCTAATTGTCGTATTTCCATAAAGCTTTAAAATTTTGCTTCCACTTTTACTGTCAATATAATCAATCACACGTTTTGTGAGCTTCATGACTAAATGAGTTCTGTCGTGGTAGAAAACAATTCAGCGCCAGTTACAGAGTTTCTTGCATTTGAACCTTTTCATTGAGGATTAAATATCACGATTTTATGGAAATATATTGTATTTACCACAACTAAACAAAGAATTTCATGCAAGTTAGTACTACAGTGTGGTAGCCCACAGAGGTTTCCTAGTGAGATCTGAGCTTGCTGTACCCAGCAGGACTACATAAGAGGATGATTGGACCATGGCCCTGGGTACCACGTGTTTGGTAGGGTCTACACTTGGCTGTATCTAGCAAGGGGGAGGTCCTTTGCCTCGCCCCTTGGCATTGTTATAAAAAGCCCTTTTGAATAAAGTTCTGGGCTGGTGGATATTGACCCAGGCCCTCCCGAAGCTATCCTGTGTTTCTGTCTTTCCTCTCGCCATCTAGGTCTCTTAGTCTATCTGATAATTCCTCATTCCTCTCTCCTCCACCTAAGAACCCTTCAATAGGTAGGAGCAGGTTGGAGCTGGACTCCCACACTACATAAAATGTAGCTGTGTGCTTAATCTCTTAATTTTACATGGTAGGGAATTAAATGTATAAGTAGAGAATGAGCTTTGCTAATATAGGCAGTTTTGTATGTCTGTTTTATTCTACACTCAGGATGTAGCTTGGAGGTGGTATGTACCAAAGCCAATGAGCATAATATATAACTTTTAATTAAGTGGACCTGTGAATTTTGTGTTGTTAATAGGTATAGCATTGGTGTTACCTTTTTTTTTTAGATTTATTACTTTTATTTTATGTGTATAAATGTTTTACTTGTGTGTATATATGTGCATCACATGCATGCTTGGTGCACTTGGAGGTGAGAAGAGGGTGGCTGGAGTTATGGATGGTTGTGAGACACCATGTAAGTAAATGCCTAGAATGGAACCTGGGTTCTCTTCAGAAGCAGCAAGCCATCTCTTCAGTCCTAGTATTATTTTTTAATTGTTGCTATTGATATTTAACATTAACAAACTAAATAGATGTTTAGTTTGCTTCCTTGCTTGAATTAATAAGTATTTTTATTCCTATATGCTAGCTATAGCTTGGCCATTTGGATTACCTATAAGTGGACTTTCGGGCTTCCAGAGAAAAGACAAGCTCAAGGAGGAGGGTCATGAGCTTGATCACTGTAAATCTACTTAATTGTGATGTTTTGTAACATCAGAAATATGAAAATGTGCCTGTATAAATAAATGCAGTCTTTCCAAACATTAGAATTTGAAAATCTTTGGAGCCCGACTACTTATATCATTCAGTGGACTAAGAGTCCAGTATTTCTGATTCTTTTGTGTAATGCTAACTTGAAGGAGATGTTTGTGTGGATGTCAGCCTTACAATGAAGCCCTTTTTCCCTCTTAGTAACTAAGTGTTCATGGATAGGATCCTATTGAAACAAGCATTCTTCTGAATCTGTTGTATAGCCTTCTAGGTGGGGATTACTTACTGTATGCTGATTCTATACTTGAGGGGTTCAGTTGCTTTTTTTAAGGCTTCTGGAGTTTTCTGCACACTTTAATGGCATCAGTAATATTTGGAGGAAAGCTCCAACGGCAGGCCTGAGTCCTAGAGTCCTGGGGAGCTCTGGGCTCTCAGGAAACCGGGGAGCAACACATCAGGCAAGACACGTAAGGTCTGAGCTGTGCTTCTCAGAGCTGGCAGGGCCACTGCTGTGCTGGAGCTGCCACATCTCCTAATTTTCTCTTTAACTTGGTTGAGATCTCAGGCTAAGAAACTGCAAATTAAGGACATTTTCTTAGGAAGCACCAAGTTAGACTCAATGGCCAAATGATAGGGAATAAATACTTGGGGTTACCAAACTCTGATTCTGATTCTGACATGCAGTCTCCACAGAGGCATGGATTTCTGCAGTCTACTCCTTACTCTCGTAGGTCCTGGGTACCACAAAGCAACTCACAGTTGAGACATTGGGCTTTCTTTTCTGAATACCTTACCTCTCTGCACAGCTATCCTTGAGCCCATGTGTCCAGCCCTCTCCCCAGTACTTACCTTTCCTTTCTACCACTGTATCTCTTGCTCGAATATAGTTTGCCACCAAGGGTAATTTAGTTATAAAATGACAGATTAACAGGTAAGCATTGAGCCCAAATAAATTGGAATTCTTTGTGTAGTAAAGGAGACTTGGATACACTGTAGACTGAAAGAGTGGAATGCTTGGCTCTACCTTGCTTGCTCTCTGTCTATCTCATCAGTGCCCTGGCCCTCTTATTATTCTCCTGGGAACAAAATTATGGACTCAGCATTGTTTTAGAGCCTGCAGCTGCATTCCATCTGCCCTTCCCCCTTCCCTTTGCAGAGCTCTCCCTAGCCCGTTGGGACTTAGTAAAAACAAAGACTCATTACAGGGGAGAGAGTGGGTTGGCACAGCCCACAGGGAATACGCAGAGCCATAACTGTGAGGGTCTTCTATACAGTGCTCCTCTGTTTTTCTTTAGAGCCATGATAAGTTAACATTGCCTGTGCTGATTGCTTTTTAAACCCTTCAGAAGTATGCTTACAGAGTTTTCCTGTTTGGAAAATGTTTAGGGTTTTAAATTGGAAGGTTTAAATTTAGAATTCCCCCAAAAGATACTGTTCCTTAGTGAGAGATATTGTCTTTTTATATCAAATGCAATTGGAAATGTACCTTAACTCCATGATAGTGCCATATGTAAGCAAATTTGAAGTGTAACTGAAGCATTGTTAAGTATCCTTTTAAAAGTGAACATATTGTGTTACAGATATTTCCTGTTTGCTTGATGAGATTCATGCTAAGTTTGCATGGTTATGCTATTCCTCATTGCTAATTATAGGATTTTCCCCCACTTGGGTAATGTCTATAGGTCAGAATTTAGGGCTTGGCAGATTAGCTTTTAAGCCTATTTGCTTTTCCGTTTGAACATGTTCTGTTAGGTTGATGTTAACGTCTATATAAATACAGACTGAAACATGAAAGTATGGCAGTATACTGTAAGAGTGGAATTCTGAGAGTCATTGATTATTTGAGTTTCACCTCTAGAGCTGGGCAGGAGTTTTCTTAGCAGAAAATGAAAACTGTCTTTCAGAGTCATCTCAGCTTTTTCCCATAGTGGGAAAGGGCACATAGAAAACTGGATGCTCACTGAAGGTGTTTTCTGTAGGGGAGCAGTTGGTTCTGATTGCTGACCTCATGAATGCTAGGAACTGAGTATGTCAACTAAAAATATCCTCATTTATTCTGGAGTGTGGGTCAGCCAGTTAATCTTCTAACTTCAGGGTTACTTGAGATCTTTAAGTTAGAATATTCAGAGGAAAATGACAACACAGTGTACCAGTTTCTAAAAGCTGCATCTTCAAAGTCAAGCAAGCTTTATGAAGAATAAAGTTAAACAGTGAAAGTGAGGCAGGTGACTTTTCCAAGGATGTCTATTCCAGTGAAGTTTGAAAAACCAATCTGTTTAGGTTTGTGGAGACTAGGTGTTTCTAAGAGCACACAGTTGGTAGAGGCTAGGATACTGCGGGGTGTGTGTGGGGTGGGGGACAACTCTTCCCACTGTTTTGGAGAGTTCTGAAAGAGTGTATCTGGGAAGTTCACTCAGGGTTTAATAAAGTCAGCTGTTGATAAAATTGACAACAATTATTTCATAAACTAGGACCTAGTTGACAGGGTAAGTTATTAATTACTCTGCTTGCTTCTTGGTTTTATGGTATTTTTTAGTTTTGTTGGTTTGTTTTTTTGGGTTTGGCTTTCTCAGATGTGGCCTGTCTGTGTTGCTCAGGCTAGCCTGGAACTTTCAGTGTGGGCCAGACTGACCTTAAACTTGAAAGAGTCAAAGCTCCGACCTCTCCCTGCCAATGCTGGAATTATAGGCATTCAGTTGACACTCTTATTTTGTGAGCTCTCCCCATATTTCCTAGGCTCGCATGGACCTTGAGATCCTTTGTTTTGGCTTCCCAAACACTAAGATTACAGACATGTGCTGGCATGCCCAAGCTTTGCATTGCTATGAACAAGCTAGATAAGACATGGTCTTCACTCTTACAGAATTTCTAGCTGACAAATACATGCAGACTAACATTTAGGAAAGAATTAATAATAAATAAAGGATTTAGCTAGAACCCTCACACAGCACTTCTATAGAACTATTCTGTAGGGACTATCAATAACAAGGCTTTGTGTGTGTTTCTGACTGCTGTGAATCAACATTTTAATCAAAAGTTTTTGTGACTTCAAAAATGGTATATATTAGCTATCCATGATGCTGTATACCTGTAATGCCAGCATTTGGGATGCTGAGGCAGGAAAATTTAGAGTTCAAGGTCAGCATGGTATTGTATTTAAAAAGAAAAAGGAGCCAGGCGGTGGTGGCGCATGCCTTTAATCCCAACACTCAGGAGGCAGAGCTAGGCAGCCTCGAAATCTCTCTGAGTTCAAGGCCAGCCTGGTCTACAGTGCAAGATCCAGGACAGACACTAAAACTAAACAGAGAAACCCTGACTCAAAAAAACAGAAAAAGAAAAGAGAAACAAAAAGAAAAAAGAAAAAGGAAAGTTCTACTTTGGCAATAAATGTATAAAATTCTAAATGCCTCATTAAGAACTGTGTACGCACACAACATTTTACACATACAAATAGATGTGAGAAGTGTGATAATTGGGGTAAAATCTGAAACAGCAAGATTTTCAATAGCAAATAATGGCCACATTTGCTGGCAGGTGGTGCCCTTGCAATTGATTTGCTTGTGGCCCCAAGGACTAATGCCCAGAGTGTGATTGCCCCCAAGAAAATGAGAAATAATGTTAACATTGTCACTGTAAAAGATTGGGGAACCAATATTAACTCATTATTTATCATGAGATTGCTAAAGGGCCTTTTTAGTT